CTGCGGGGATCGTTTTCAGCGTTCTTTTTCATTGAACGGCCTGAAAACATCATCGACGATTGTGAAAACATGCTACGGCCGTTGCGTTAGGTAGCGACCGCGGTGGAAGCGACGAGGAGCCGAAAGAACGCAGGCAGGGGCTCAGCGCAGCGGTCGCTCCGGTGGTCCGGCGGGCAGGTTCGTTTGCGGTGCATTCGAATTGTTTTAATTTTTATCATCGACGATACTGCATACAGTGGAGACGTGGTGTGTGCCCTGTTGACAGTCTTCGTTGTTGGGTTGTGTGCCTAGCGCACCATTACCTGGCGGCTCTGTCGCTTCGTAAGGCTTGGACGCTGTTGTGCGGGTGTCTTGGCTGTGTACTGCTGCGTGTGCTTGCAGGGCGCTTCTCGTATTTTATGGGAGCAACCGAATTTCAGTGTAAATTTCTTGGTGTCGGCAAGAGAAAATTGCACGAAACTCGGTGACGACAGCTACCACGCCGCTGCCACCAAGTCCCCCCTCGGGCCCTTAAATCGAGGATACTTTCATTCGAGTTGCTAATGCTATCCCCGTTCGCGCCCCTTAAACCTCGAGGGGTGGCATTCTATACATTTTTGAAAAACCGGAGACGACGGACGAGAAAAAGGGGACAAACACAAAAGGTCTCAAAGACGTTTTGTGTTTGTCCCGTTTTTCTCGTCCAGTTTCCGGTTTTTCAAAAATGTGTAACGTCGACCAGCTCGCCTGTCTACCACGGCACCGTGCTGTCTACTCACTCTATCTTCAAGGCATTTTATAATTGTTTTGTCTCTATACCCGGTTTACGAACCGTTCTGTGCGTCATCCTAAAAAACTACTGATATCAAGCTGAATTGTCGGGTCGTATTTTGTGGTGGCTTCTTTTTGTGCTTTTGTGATGGTGGTACTGCCATTAAATAAAGCTGAAGACTAATTTCTGAAGCATTCCCCTTGCTCCGTTTTTTTGTTTTTTTCGAAAATAAATGATTCAGTGGAGCCTTAGATTGATACTTGTGTGCCTAAGGGTGGAAAGGCAATACCACCTGGTTTTCTACTAGATACACAACATTTGAGCAGAAAACATGTTTATTTCTGAAGGCAAGAAAAAAAGTGACAAGTCGAACCATTGAAGCAGTTACAAACTGTTCCATGGTCTGCAAATATCCCACCGCATTGCGTAGTGTTGGCTCAACGCCAGTGTAACGCAATGGACAACAATGAAAACAGCCAGGCAAGTAGGATATGTTTGTAAACAATAGTTGAAACTAAGGCACGATCAAAATTCTCATGTCCACAAGATGGGGTCATCAGACAAAAAAGAACTCCGATGGCAGCGCTCTTACAAAGAAATGTGGCGGTGCAAATGGCAGAAGTTATGTGCAATGCAGTTATCACTCAATATGCAGTCAGTATATTAATAGGCGAGGATCAGTGGCCGAGTGGGCTAGCAATTCTCAGCTTGGAGCACGTGGAGCAAAAGTGCGCGCTGAAGAACCCAGGAATCCTGGATTCAATCCCCACCCCTGCCCGTTTCGATCTAGATGAGCATCATACCGGTACGGGTTCACATATCACTACTGCGTGGTGCACGTTAGACACCAGGCCAGCGGTCGTACCGCACTGGCTAAATTTCTCATCTACAGCGAGAGACTCGCCGCAACTTTGCTATGGCAGACAAACTTCTCATTGTCTACATATCCACACAACTCAATTTTTTTTTGTATTAATGGGGGGAAACAAATTGGGTCGTGTGTTATTAAGACAGCTCGACTTTGGTCAGCTTTCGCAAAGTGCGACAAGTTTCTCGCTGTACATGAGAAATTTAGCCAGTGCGGATGACTGCTGACCTGTAGTCTAATGATGCTCACAGTAGTGATACACAAGTGCAGCCAATACAGTGGACTGGACTGACTAGATTTATCACCTGTGGCATACTTTGCTTTTACGACAGAGTGATTTCCGACATCTTACGATTCTAACTGGCGTTTCCTAAATTACAATAAACCTATCTAAGATGAGCACATCTTGGCAGACTTCTTCTTTCTTTGAGCTTCTTTCTTCATACTTTGGCTAATGTGCTTACTGTGCTGCCTCATCCGCATGCTGACAAAGTAGTGCAACACCTGAGCAACTGTCTCTTCTTTATGTTCGGCACATGGAAATGTTAATCTGCACACGTCAAGAACGCTCTCGATTGTCTCCCAGTAGACGGTCTGGTGTTTTGAATTTTTCACAAAAATCTCCTCAGTTTTCTTCAGCAGGTTAAAAAGATTTTGGTTTGGATGAACTAGGCCTCCCCTGTTTTTGATGTTTGTCAGCGCTGCCTCAGCGGACATGTTTGGCTTGATGCTGAAAGCAGAACGGCACGTAGTGCAGCTTGTAGCCTTTCTCATTTTCCTGCTCAAAAAACCTGCTAAATAATACAATATGCAATCTGCGACACTGGTTCCTTCAGCATTCGTTTCGTAGAAAACGTCCTCACACTCCCAGTCATCAACAGAAATGAGATTGTCAAGTTTCTTCTTTACTTGGTCGACGAAGGGGGGAGATGACTTGCTCTCATTGTCTCCACTGATAAGGGCTTTGAAGTCTGATGGGTCAAGTAAAGGTTTCTCTCTCTCGACGACTCTACAGTTCCCAAATTTTGGGGGCTTCAGAATACTGTACATACTCAACGTCTGGTACAGCTGGAGGAATGTAAGCATCGATGGGTGGTCGTTCTGACTGCCTGCCATTCTGATCTTTCCAAAGAAGCGTTCAATAGGATCCTGATTCATTTTGCTTGTGAGGACAAATCTGAAATTGTACTTCTCCAACAGGAGCTCAGAAAGTTCCCTTGTAGATCTCAAGGTGACACCATGTCCTTCTGATGTTGTCTTTGCTAGAAACATGTCCTTAATGATCGCACCACTCTCCAGCTCCTTTTCCCAGTTGTCTAGCCATTCCACACCACGTTTCAGGATAGCAAGGTCCGAGCTCTTTTTCACGATGCCTTCATCTGGGAAACGACGATTCATCGCGTCGAACAGGTCATTCAAGATCAACGTGAATTCTTCAGTTCCTTCACTGTTCACCAGACTGTGCACACCTCGGCCCCTGTAAAACTGAATTCCCGAAGCCATGGAGCGATTAAACGCTTGTGTAGCGAGCTTGACACGCATTTTCTTACAGATACTAGGGTAGATGTGTGCGTGCGTAATCTTGGGCATGCCTTTAAATCTCCAGGTACAACGTGGTCTTCTTTGTAGACAGCAGCGTAGTCCTCCCACTTTATACAACGCCCGTCCTTCTTCAGGTACCTCTGTTGTTTAAGCCGATTCCGGATGCACTTGATCAAGTGTGGTGCATCAGAAAAGGCAAACACCTTCCTATCGGGGTCGCTAGGATGTGTAAATGAGTTGCAGCAGTCTCCGAGTTTTCCACTAATGCCCAAAAGTTTCCACATCCTTCTGTTTGTAAATACGCCGTCACTCACAAAACCGTGAATTCTCGCACCAGCGTTTTCCATAAGTTCAATGGCTTGTATCAGAAGCTGTGCAAGCACAGTGCCTTTTGGTGCACTTTTAGCTGCGAAAACTCTAATAGGCTGCGTGTGACTTTCGCCAAACGGACAAAACATAAAAACCAAAGCATGATCTGCAAGTTCGTCAGAGTGTTCAGCATCTGAAGTCAACCCTACATATGTCATTGTCTTCGTGTTGACACGCTTGCTCTTTTGGACTTGCATTTCATCAAACATGAGTATGCCATGTCGTTGGAAGTCGTCCTTTTTCTTCATTTTCTTCTTCAGGAAACTGAAAAACTTGTTGTCGAAACCAGACGTGAAGCCTACTATCTCAATGTAGCAACGTATTCTTCGTACCGACGGTAAGGCCAGGACTTCATTCTCCATGAGAAATCGATACCCGGCAGGTGACCTAATGTGGAGGAGGGGGCAAAGTAGAATCCAATTGTCGGTGTATCTTCGACCCTTTTTCGACTGAGCCTTGGCTGCCGCAACACACTCCTTTAGCACAAGCTGCTGGGCCTCGGGTAGATTTACCTCTTTGGAGAGATGATCAAGGGTTTCATTGTTTACATCTTGCAGTTTGGCTTTACAGCTAGCCAACTCTGCCTCCAGCTTCTTTTTTTCTTTAAGAAGACGCACTTTGGATTTACGGCAGGCAATCCTAGCTTTTCGTATTATATCCACACGGGCTCTTTTCGACGGGCTAGCCAGAAGCCGTATGCGTTTCATTTCACCCTTCTTCTTTCTTCTGGCGTCGTGAATTCGAAGAACATCCTTTAGTCTCATACAGGCTTTGCAACTTTTTTCTTCTGCGAACAATGTGCATTTTTGTGCCGCCATGTACCGCACAGGTCAACATACGCACACTCGGGGTGAATACCACCGTACATTTCATTACATGGGCCACCAGCACACACATGCATTTCATGAAAGTCCTGAATGGCACTTTTCATTGCACTGAGAGAATTCAAAGAGATGTCTTGGCTTATGCCCCTGAGGGTGACAGAATGGCCGTGAATAAACGTCCTCACTGACAGAGAGGCATCCGTTGAAGCAGTCACTTCAAGCGCCTTTCGGGTAAAAAGTGGCTGATCACGATCTTTTGGCATAGCTGATTCAGTGAATACGACAGATTTCACTCCAAAGCCATCAAGTACCTGTGCAGCTCAAGCTTTGCTTGGAAGGGGAAGGCTGGATGCACAGCTTAACAAGAGGGAAAATGTGAGATGTTCTCTGAGGTGTCTGCAACCAGCCGGTGCGGGAGGCTGCTTGTCCGTCGGTGCAGCATGACATGGCGTTCCCGAACACTGTTGGTTTTTCAGGGAACCACGGCTTGAGGAGTCAACCCGCGTGGTAAAAGAACAGGGCGCTTCGAGTTGAGAGACGGTTCCACTATCAGAAGGAACAAAGTGAAAAGGTGCGGTGGTCCCCTCTTACCTGGCCGCAATCAGTCAGTGCGGGAGGCTGCTTGTCCGTCGGTGCAGTATGACATGGCGTTCCCGAACACTGTTGGTATTTCAGGGAATCACGGCTCGAGCAGTCAACCTGTATGGTAAAAGAACAGGGCGCTTAGAGTTAAAAGACGGTTCCACTATCAGAAACAACAAAGTGAAAAGGTGCGGTGGTCCCCTCTTACCTGGCCGCAATCAGTCAGTGCGGGAGGCTGCTTGTCCGTCGGTGCAGCATGACATGGCGTTCCCGAACACTGTTGGTGTTTCAGGGAACCATGGCTCGAGCAGTCAACCTGCGTGGTAAAAGAACAGGGCGCTTCGAGTTGAGAGACGGTTCCACTATCAGAAGCAACAAAGTGAAAAGGTGCTGTGGTCCCCTCTTACCTGGCCGCAATCAGTCAGTGCGGGAGGCTGCTTGTCCGTCGGTGCAGCATGACATGGCGTTCCCGAACACTGTTGGTGTTTCAGGAAACCATGGCTCGAGCAGTCAACCTGCGTGGCAAAAGAACAGGGCGCTTCGAGTTGAGAGACGGTACCACTATCAGAAGCAACAAAGTGAAAAGGTGCGGTGGTGCCCTCTTACCTGGTTGCAATCAGTCAGTGCGGGAGGCTGCTAGTCAGTCGGTCGAGCGTGACATGGCGTTCCCAAACACTGTGTCCCAGGGAACCACGGCTCGAACAGTCAACCTGTATGGTAAAAGAACAGGGCACTTAGAGTTGAGAAACGGTTCCGCTATCAGAAGCAACGAAGTGAAAAGGTGCGGTGGTCCTCTCTTACCTGGCCGCAATCAGTCGGTACGGGAGGCTGCTTGTCCGTCGATGCAGCATGGTATGGCGTTCCCAAACACTGTTCGTGTTCCAGGAAACCACGGCTCGAGCAGTCAACCTGCGTGGTAAAAGAACAGGGCGCTTCACATCCAGTGTTGCTTCCTCCATTAAAAGCAAAAACCAAAGTAGTGCACTATGCAATTCATTTACTGCATCCAGATTCCAATTACAGGTGCTGGTGACTGGAATATCAATGTTACTGGTCATAAAGGAATGATACTAAAGGTAATTTAGGGTGCTGCGAGAGAACAGTAAACACTGAAGGCAAGTATTTGAGTGGTCAGTTGTTTTCATGATTGCTATATAAAAGGCATTGAACTAAGGACATTCACTATAAAGATTCCACAACAAAGTTTACCTTTGCAACATCTTGGTGAATTCCCCCACAATGTCCTCCTCCTGCTTCAGGATCACCATGTTCAGGATACACCACGGGTGATGCAACGCAGCTGGGATTAAGGCGTCGTCTCTCACACGACTCTGTTGCTGCTCGGGGATCATCACGCTCAGGACACAGTACGGGTGACGCAGTACTGCTGAAATCAAGGCGTGGTCTTTTACACGATCCCGCTGTTTGTGGATCATCATGTTCAGGGTACACCACTTCCGCTGGCGACCCGGCACTGGTTGAGGAAGCCCGGCTGGACTCCAAGGACACATTAGTGACAGATGACTTCGAATGACGTCGTTTACAAACGCTCGTCGTAGCAGGTACTCTTCTTCGAGGTGGTTTTTTGGGCTTCTTGTGTCTTGTTAGGTACGTTGGGCAGCCCGGAAAAATTGAGGGTACAGCGTCCACTGACAGCACGGGCTTCTTTGGGGCATCCAGAAGAACTTTACCGTCCAACTCTCCGTAATACGATCTTGACACCATCTCGGGAGGAAAATGCTTCGCGCAAACATGGTCACTAGACAGCAGTATCCGATCAGCTCTCGGGATTGCACGGCGCCACTTTTCCAGGCGAGCAGGATCCGAAGGAGCTCTGAACACAGACACAGTCTCCGCACACGACCGGTAGCCCGAATTGCAATTCGGAACAAAACGATGCTTGCCCTTTTTACGACATAGCGGCAATTACCTACGTACCCCCGAAACGTCCACCGTAGCTCCGTTCCCCGTTTCTATCGTCGCCGCTACCTCGAGCTACGCACGTAGAACGTTTTTAACTTCGAGGACGATATTCTCAGGCCCTCGAATGAAAACAAAGCCCACTGAAAGCGGTCCAACCACAGTTACATGTCACATCGTCAACGTACGCGGCATACCACGGCATACCGAGTCCGCGGTTTTGGGCACCCGATCTCGCAGCGCCCTCTAAGCCGACGGTGTTTGCGTTCGAGGCACACAGTCCTTCTTGCACCGCGGTTCGAGGATATCCCCAAACATTATGTGACCGCGCTCGCCTGACGAGGAGAGTGGTAGGTGTCATCACCTAAAGTCCTTTCTCGCACCGTGCCCCCAGGTCACGTGATCCCTCCCGAGGTCACGTGACCCCCAAAGTCACGTGACCCCCCTCCTCGAGGTCACTTGACCCCCCTCCCCCCCGAAATCATGCGACACCCCCCGAGGTCACGTGACCCCCTCTTCGAGGTAAGTGACCCCCGGAGCATATTAAAGAATCAGGGGAGGAGGAGGAGAAGGACGAGGAGGGGAAGGGGTCTATTCTCCCCTCAGTACCCCTCCCTCCTCCTCCTCAAGAGCTGCGCTCCTATTTGGCGTTACAGGGAGTTGTAAACGGCTTTCACTTTTTCGTAATCATCATAACCGACGCAGCCATGTGCGGTGAAGCTCATCTGGAAGGCAGCGTCCAACTGCTCTTGAAAAGAGAATTGACGTCGCACGAAGCGTAACGGATCTCCATAAAGGACGTGCAACTGTTCTCGTGACAAACTTTCGAGAGGAGCCGCAGCACCTAATGAATTGTACCACCGTGGGCTACATCGATAACCTTCAAGCGCCAGCCGTGGTCGCCGCAATCACTGAGGAAACCTCATCGTCACAGCACAAGAACACAGTGACTGATCTGCCACGTCGTCGAAAGTTGGCTAAAAAATAGTGGTGAAGCATCGAAATGTTACCGACGGCGACGTGCACCCAGTCCACAAGTCACCCTATTGTGTCTTTTTGTAATAGCCGGAAATCATCTAAAAAGACGCTTAGAAAATGTTTGATGTTGACATCATCGAGCCGTCAAGCAGTCCATGGGGTTCACCTGTTGTGCTCCTAAAGAAGGACAGAACCCTGACGAAATTAATCACTGGAGAAGGGGAACAAGAGGGACAAAGGAAAAACATAAATCTCCAGGAAAATAATTCCTGGCGATTGGATCATTGAGGCGCGGGAAATTGGGAAATTTCCCGCGCCTCAATGATTTTTCGAGTGAGTTTCTCTTCATTTTTCCTAATCACTTCACACTTGTCGAAGACGGGAGTGCAGCAGCAGTCACGGCAATGCAAGCCAAGGTGACCTGACACAACTCTAAAGACATTATACTTATGTTCTCGCAAGTGATCGTTGAGGCAGCGCCCCGTTTGCCCGACGTATCTCCTGCCGCACGAGAGGGAAATAAAGTACACCCCTCCCTCCACACAGTTCACGAATGGGTCGTGGTGTTTTTTGGTGCAACCCTGCTTTCCTTTAGAACAGGAGTTCACTTTTCTGCACAGCCCAAACAGCTTTTCCGGAGCCGGAAAAACCACATCAACACCAACCCTTCGGCCAACTTTCTTTAGGTTGTGCGAGATCTTGTGCAGCCATGGTAAAACGATAACTTTTTTGTTAACCTTATGAGCCTGCTGGGGCGTTTCTTCACGTGCTTTATTAAGTAGGTTCTCAGCAACTTTCGTCAACAGGTAAGACGGATATGCCGCATATCTTAGCCTTGATGCTTTTGTGTCGAAGCTCTCTCACCCTGTGGGGGCACGACTTGAACAGGGCATTTCTAAAACAAAGGTTAATAATCCCCCTTTTTACTAGTTTGGAATGCGCTGAGAAAAAAGGCAAGATGGGTTTCTTAGCTCTCGGCTCATATATCCAGCACACATAGCCATGACCAAGTTGAAGGCTCAGATCCAGAAACCTAATGGACCCATTTACAGGTGCTTCATGCGTCAGCACCAGCGGTTCCAGACACTCTTTAAACGCTGACAGGACAAACGACACAGCAGAATCCATATTTTTTTTGTCGCAATCTAGGAGCACGAAATAGTCATCTACAAACCTAAAATTTTTTTGCCACCTTGGTTCCTTCCAGTTTGCCTGACAGGACTCTATCGTGAAACGCAACGTTTAAACAGTGTCTGGAACCGCTGGTGCTGACGCATCAAGCACCTGTAAATGGGTCCATTAGGTTTCTGGATCTGAGCCTTCAAATTGGTCGTGGCCATCTGTGCTGGATATTTGAACCGAGGGCTAAGAAACCCATCTTGCCTTTTTTCTCAGCGCATTCCAAACTAGTAAAAAGGGGGATTGTTAACCTCTGTTTAAGAAATGCCCTGTTCAAGTCGTGCCCCCACAGGATGAAAGAGAGCTCCGACACACAAGCATCAAGGCTCAGATATGCGGGATATCCGTCTTACCTGTTGACGAAAGTTGCTGAGAACCTACTTAATAAAGCACGTGAAGAAACGCCCCAGCAGGCTCATAAGGTTAACAAAAAAGTTATCGTTTTATCATGGCTGCACAAGATCTCGCACAACCTAAAGAAAGTTGGCCGAAGGTTTGGTGTTGATGTGGTTTTTTCGGCTCCGGAAACGCTGTTTGGGCTGTACAAAAAGTGAACTCGGGTTGTAAAGGAAAGCGGGGTTGAACGGAAAAACACCACGACCGATTCGTGAACTGTGTGAAGGGAGTGGTGCACTCTATTTCCCTCTCGCGCGGCAGGAGATACGTCGGGCCAATGGGGCGCTGCCTCAATGATCGCTTGCAAGAACACAAGTATAACGTTTTTAGAGTTGTGTCAGGTCACCTTGGCCTGCATTGCTGTGACTGCTGCTGCACTCCCGTCTTCGACAAGTGTGAAGTGATTAGGAAAAATAAAGACAAACTCACTCGAGAAATCATTGAGGCGCGGGAAATTGGAAAATTGGGGGAAACTGTGTCAGGACTCCTTCAGTATGTTTATCCGAAAATGAATGTTGCTTTCCAAGCACACAGTGACAGCGCATAACGATGGTTAAGGAGCACGTGGCGTCCATTACATGCATTTTATCTTTATTTGTATGTCATGACGTTACAGTATTTATACTTGATGTTAGCACGAATAAACTTTAGTTGTAAGTCAGCGCCTTGTCCGTCTAGCTTCTTGTTCTTGTCTGTGTCCTTGAGCTGTTTTAATTTTTAATCATAAAATACCAACTAGCCCAAACCTCTACGTTAGTAGAAAAGAAAGCAATAAAATAATAAAGCTGAAAGGAATGTTTAATAGGACGCTGAGGACACGAGCTGCACAATTTTTTTTAATGGTGCTGTCAGCGTAAATGGCCGCGTCTTGCGGACGCGCTCGTGCCCCCTACCCGAAAGCAACGGGTCTAGACAGAAGGCTATGGCTGGCTGCACCATCTGTGTGGCGCTGTAACGTTCGATTTTGCACGTGCCACGTTCGAAGACAAGCATCTGTCAGCATCTGTAGATGCGCGGTAACAGAACGTCTAAAAAA